ATAAGTAGTATAATATTGTTTCCTCTCCTTTTCCGATACTAGTGAAGCATCGTAACGTCTGTAATTCTGCTACTATTTGTATCAGTATTAGCCAAATATAATCATCATGTTAGTTTGAAACCAATCTTTTTGGGGACTTCCAGTGTGTGTATGTGTATGTATATATATATGTGTGTGTGTACTGTCACTGTGCTCACGACTCTGTTTTAAATACTGTCGATGTTGAAAATGAGACGATGTCGCGAGGTCAAATGGGAAAACTTCAACATTCCCGGCCGATAGTGAAAACAATTTATATGCAAGACCTACTTATAAGTAGTCTAATATTGTTTCCTCTCCTTTTCCGATACTGATCAAGCATCGTCATGTCTGTAACTCTGTTACCATGTGTATCAGTATTAGCCGAATATAATCATCAGGCTAGTTTGAAACCAATCTTTTTAGTGACTTCCATCGTGTGTATGTGTATGTATATATGTATGTCTGTGTGTGTGAATGCATTTGTCTATTTGAATGAACCATGTTGTTTGGTGGCAACTCATGGTGTGTGGAGGAGAAGTGAGAGAGGATAAAAGATAAAAAATATCGTGTTGTCATGCCTGCAGACGATACAAATATGTTGCTAGCGTCACAGGTTTGCGGCGCTTAATCGAGCCGTGCTAGGCTATGTACCAAATTGTACAAATTGTGTACATAATGGAGTAAATGGTGCCTAACATGTCTGTGCATTGGACGGTCGTAAAGCGACCAGGACAGACAAAAGGCAATAGTTAACCAAATGTGAACGTCCGGTTTCTATGCGTGAAGGGCGACGCAATTCGTCAGTGTCGGTTGGTGATTGGGTGAAGTGGTCCGGTCGAGATGAGTTGGCGGGTTGTCGTGGGACTTCCCTCGACCACTTGTCCACAGAGTGGATCCTCTCGGCGCCCAGACTCGGACTCTCGTCTCGCCCGGCTTCCAGTCTCTGCCGGCGTTGCGAGTTCGAGTCCCGTCGTGAATCAGCTACAGACCAATTGTCCGTCGGCAAGGTTGGCTCTTGTCAGCCGGAAAAAAGGGGCTCAAACCCGGTTTTATGATGGTGTAGTTCACTTTTTTGAGATGATCTAAACAAATGCTGTTGTTGCGTTTCAGAAACAATGCAGTGGTATAGAAATAGAGTTTTAAAGGACGCCATCATCAGCCCCCAAGGCTCGTTTGGCGACAGCCTGAAATGTCGAGAGTTTTGCTATTCCCTGCCAACATGTGGAGGCGTCTCCTACAATGTCTCCTCCAACACCTGCTACGTCCTATTCAAGCTATTCGAATTTGCTCAATTGGACACTTCCATGGGAGTTAATACATTCATACGTAAGAATGCGACATTTATCATCTCACTTTGGTGATTAATATCTTTTTTTTTTCCGATTAGCATTGACTGGTTGCATTTTTAGTCAGTTTGTTTATACATTTTCACC